GGCTTGAGGTTTTTTTTGGTTCTATGCGGCTTAGCGTGAGACGGGAGGTTGGGTGTGTGCGGGACTCGATCGCGGGGTTTTCCTTGGTTTTTCGCGGCTGAGAGGGAGGTGGGAGGAAGTACCAAAGAAGTACCAAAAAAGACCGGGTGAGGTGGGACGAAAATAAAACTCGGAACGCGACCTACCAACTGAGACATTAGGAGTAGAGATGCAGCCTAAATTTGGGGTGGATGTGGGGATACCGGGCGAGTTTTTCATGTCGGACCCGACAGGCCTTCCCCGCCATAAATTGCACCAGATCCACCCTCTTGACCTACCGGATCCATTTACTCTCTGCTTGTTCTTCTTCCTCCGCGTCAAACGTTTCGCAGCTCCGCCGTCACCCTTGCTTCGCGGCCGTTTTGAGCCTCAGCGCCGCCATGACTGGCGCAGTAGTCCTCTCTCCCATGCTCGCTGCCGCGAACATCGGCGGTGGCCCGGACACCGCCGCGGTACATGTGGCAACTCTCCGACTGCCTCTTTGCATTGTATGTGTTTGACAGGATGTCCGACCCGATTTTTTGTGATTTATTTGTAGGGAAAGCCATGAATTCCGATGCTTCGTAATATGAACCGACGGAGCTTGATAAAATGATTGAAGCTGAGTTCTTTGATTCGTCAAATTCGGATGAAGAAGTGGACATGATAATATGCCCGTGAGCATGCAAGAGGAAATGGACCGGTAGATGTAGCATATTCTAAACTTCAAGGGCCCAATCAAAGGAAGAAGAGTGATCTATCGGGACAGGGCCTCCGGAGCATGGCTACTGCACAAGGACTACTTGTCTGATCCATGGTTTCGTGCCGTTTTCACACGCGGAAACCATTGTTTTTGCGCATTGTGGAGGGAGTAGAGGTACATGATGACTACTTCAAGCTCACAAGGGATTGTTGCAGCCAACTTTTTTTCTCTGCTAAGTAGAAATGCACAACTGCTCCAAGGATGCTTGCACTTGGTACTGCCACAGATGCCGTGTGTGAGATGGTCCGGATGGGGGAGAGTACATGTCTGAAGACTACTTTCAAGTTTGCCCGCGCCATGGTGCAGGTGTTTGGAGTATAGTATCTGAGA